TCGGCTACGGTGCAGATGCCATCTGCCCTTACCTTGCCCTTGAGTGTATCCTGAAAATGAACCGGGAGAACCTCATCAAGAAGAAGTTGACAAATGAGCAGGTTGTCCAGAACTACAAGGGGTCCTGTGATGGTGGCATCCTCAAGGTTATGTCCAAGATGGGTATTTCTACTCTGCAATCCTACAAGGGCGCGCAGATCTTTGAGGCCTTGGGAATTGATGACTCGGTCGTCTACAAGTGTTTTGCGGGAACTGCGACTCGCATCAAGGGAATCACGTTTGAGCAGATTGCCAGAGATGCTTTCGCCTTCCATGAGAAGGGTTACCCCACACGTGCTACCGTTTCTATCCCAGGCCTACCAGAAACTGGCGAATATCACTGGAGAGACGGAGGAGAGGCCCATATCAACGACCCAAAGAGTATTGCCAGCATTCAGAACGCCGTTCGGACCAAGGACGACAAGTCGTATGAAGCATACTCGCTCTCCGAGTATGAACAGATCAAGAACTGTACTCTTCGTGGTTTGCTCGACTTCGATTTTGATGCTGCCACTCCTGTTCGCATCGAAGAGGTTGAGCCATGGACTGAGATTGTGCGCCGCTTCTGCACTGGTGCGATGTCTTACGGTTCCATCTCGATGGAATCGCACTCTACTTTGGCTATTGCTATGAATCGTCTCGGAGGCAAGTCAAACACAGGCGAGGGAGGAGAAGACCCCGAGAGAAGTAAGGTCATGGATAACGGTGATACGATGAGGTCATCCATCAAGCAGGTCGCATCTGGCCGCTTCGGTGTCACTTCTTACTATCTTTCTGATTCCGATGAACTTCAAATCAAGATGGCTCAAGGTGCTAAGCCTGGTGAAGGAGGTGAACTCCCAGGTCACAAGGTCTCGCAGTCCATTGCCAAAACTCGTCACTCCACGCCTGGCGTCGGTCTTATTTCTCCACCACCGCATCACGACATCTACTCCATTGAGGATTTGAAGCAGCTGATTTACGACTTGAAGTGCTCCAACCCACGTGCTCGTGTCTCCGTCAAGCTTGTTTCCGAGAGTGGTGTCGGTATTGTTGCTTCTGGTGTCGCCAAAGCTAAAGCTGATCACATCCTCATCTCTGGACACGACGGTGGAACTGGTGCTTCTCGCTGGACTGGTATCAAATACGCTGGTCTGCCTTGGGAATTAGGACTTGCCGAAACTCATCAGACATTGGTTCTTAACGATTTGAGAGGTCGTGTTGTTGTCCAGACTGATGGCCAGCTCCGCACGGGACGTGATGTTGCCATTGCCTGTCTTCTTGGTGCTGAAGAATGGGGATTCGCCACCACTCCCTTGATTGCCATGGGATGTATTATGATGAGAAGTAAGTGGAGCGGAACTAACATCTCTTACGCTTGATTGCTAACATGCTGTAGAATGCCATCTCAACACCTGTCCAGTCGGAATTGCTACTCAGGATCCAGAGCTCAGGGCCAAGTTCAACGGTACTCCCGAGCATGTCATCAACTTCTTCTACTATGTGGCCAATGAGTTAAGAGCAATCATGGCCAAGCTCGGATTCAGGACTATCAACGAAATGGTCGGACGCTCCGAATTCCTCCGTGTTCGTGATGACCTTCGAACCGCCAAGACCCAGAACATCGATCTCTCTCTCATTCTTACACCGGCTCATACCCTTCGTCCAGGTGTGGCAACCTACAACGTTCGCAAGCAGGACCACAGACTACACGTCCGACTTGACAACAAGCTTATTGACGAGTCTGAACTCACTTTCGAGAAAGGTATCCCGGCTAGAATTGAGGCCGATATAGTCAATACAGACAGAGCTCTTGGCGCTACACTCTCTTACCGTGTCAGCAAGAAGTTTGGTGAGAATGGCCTTCCACCCGACACCATTCACGTCAAGATCCAGGGATCTGCCGGTCAATCTTTCGGTGTTTTCCTTGCGCCTGGAATTACTCTCGAGCTTGAGGGTGATGCGAATGACTACGTTGGAAAGGGCCTGTCTGGTGGACGCATCGTTGTTTATCCACCAAGAAACTCTACCTTCCGTGCCGAAGAGAACATCATCGTTGGAAATGTCTGTTTGTACGGAGCTACGTCTGGACAGGCCTTCTTCCGTGGTGTTGCCGCCGAACGTTTCGCTGTCAGAAACTCTGGTGCCGTGGCGGTCGTAGAGGGTTGTGGTGATCATGGCTGTGAGTACATGACAGGTGGTCGTGTTATTATCTTGGGCAGCACTGGTCGAAACTTTGCTGCGGGTATGTCTGGTGGTATTGCCTATGTTTTCGACAAGAACAAGGATTTTGCCTCCAAGGTCAACACCGAGCTGGTGGAGCTCTCACAAGTCACCGACTACAAGGAAATCGCCCAACTGAGAGGTTACATTGAGGACCACCATCACTACACTGGATCCGATTTAGCTGCCAGAATCTTGCTGGAATTCACTCGAGCTCTCCCACGCTTCGTGAAAGTTTTGCCAACCGACTACAAGCGTGTTCTTGACGAGGAAGCTGCTAAGGCTGCTGCTGCCAAATACGGTCTGCAGTTGCCGAAGCCCGTTGAAGAGCCAACCAAGAGAGAGACCACTTCCGACAAGCACAAGGCGTCCATGTTGGACATGGAGGACAGTATCACTGATGCAAAGGCCGAGAAGAAGAAGTCGACTCTTGTCCTCAACAAGACCAAGGGCTTCATGCTGTACAACCGGCGCAGCGAGAAGTACCGCAATGCGAAAACAAGAACAAAGGACTGGGCTGAACTATCCAAGCGTCTCGATGAAGACGAGCTGAAATATCAGTCTGCCCGTTGTATGGATTGTGGTGTTCCATTCTGCCAGTCTGACACTGGATGCCCAATCTCGAACATCATTCCCAAGTGGAATGAACTGGTGTTCCAGAACCAATGGCGTGATGCTCTCAACCGCCTGCTTATGACGAACAACTTCCCAGAGTTTACTGGAAGAGTCTGTCCCGCACCTTGTGAAGGCGCGTGTGTATTGGGCATTAACGAGGATCCTGTTGGTATCAAGTCGATTGAGTGTGCAATCATTGATCGCGGGTTTGAGATGGGATGGATGGTTCCAACACCACCAAGCGTTCGAACCGGAAAGACGATAGCCATCGTCGGCTCTGGGCCAGCCGGTCTCGCTGCCGCTGATCAATTGAACAAGGCTGGCCATACTGTCACGGTCTACGAGCGAGCCGATCGAGTTGGTGGACTGCTCATGTATGGTATCCCCAATATGAAGTTGGACAAGACTATCGTTCAACGTCGTGTTGACTTCATGGCTGCTGAAGGTATCAACTTTGTCACCGGTACCCAAGTTGGCCAGGATATCCAGCTTGCTGATTTGAAGGCTAAGCACGATGCTGTCGTTCTAGCGACCGGAGCGACCGTTCCAAGGGATCTGCCAATTCCGAACAGAAATCTGGAAGGAATCCACTTTGCCATGACCTTCCTCCATGCGAATACAAAGTCTCTCCTGGACTCTGGCCTGAAGGATGGGCAGTACATTTCGGCCAAGGACAAGCATGTTATCGTCATTGGTGGTGGTGACACTGGTAATGATTGTATTGCTACTTCCGTCCGTCACGGTGCGAAATCAGTTGTCAATCTCGAGCTCCTTCCTCGTCCACCACAGGAGCGTGCTTACGACAATCCTTGGCCACAATGGCCAAAAATCTACAGAATTGACTACGGTCATTCTGAAGTCAAGGCTCACTACGGAAAGGACCCAAGAGAGTATTGTGTCATGTCCAAGGACTTTGTCAGCGACGGAAACGGAAACGTCAAGGGAATCAACGTCATCAATGTGGAATGGACCAAGAATGCTCGTGGTGGCTGGGATATGCAAAAGGTTGAAGGTTCTGAGAAGTTCTTACCTGCCGATCTTGTCCTTCTGTCCATGGGTTTCTTGGGCCCAGAGGAGCGCGTTTTGGAGGGAATCGAGAAGGACCCTCGCAAGAACGTCAAAACTCCTGCGGGCAGTTATCACTCTTCGGAGGAGGGTGTCTTTGCTGCTGGCGATTGCCGTAGGGGTCAGTCTCTTATTGTCTGGTAAGTCTAACTGTGTATCTTTTGTTCTGTACTCTCTTGCTAATGTGTCATAGGGGAATCAATGAGGGACGACAGTGTGCTCGAGAAGTCGATGAGTGGCTGATGGGAGGTACTGCTCTTCCAGTGACTGGAGGTATTGTTCCGCGTATCAATGTACCGGAGCAAAACATTCCCAAGATCGTCACGGAAGTAGCTGTGCAAGCTTAAGCATGCATGTTTTGTTTTCTTGTACATGTTCGTATTTGCATTGACTAGCCTTTCGAAAATTTCTTTCTGTTTTATTTGGTCTTTCTTTCAACGTTTAGCATTGTTTTTTTGGTTCGCTGATATCACATGCAATTGCGGGAGAACCGCTGCGCTTCGTGTACAATGGTGGTTTGTTGCACAAAATGATTTGGTTTCTTTTCGGCTTATGATTTATTTTACTACTATGTACTGTGTTATATTCTTGGGTACTTTGCACTGTGTCGTTTTCACCTCCTTCCACTGGATCACGGGGGATTGTTTGTTTCTTATGTGAAATTCGGATCTGGTTCTTTCAGTATGTAAATGTGTATAGTCTTTTTATTAGCATACTTGTTTTCCTCTTTGTAATACGCTTCTCGGATGGCTTGCAACGGATAATCTTTGTATATCGCACGGTACTAATATCTCTACTTTGTAAATAACATGTCTTTGTCTGCCTGACTATATCGCAAGTACTGCCCTTTTCTGATATAGTACCACCTAGATCTCTCAAGATGTACAGACTGTCTTTTTTGTAGCAGTATTATACTTACTTACTTAAAGCAATGAAGGGAGATTAAGGAAAGAAGTAGCAAAAAATTAATGAAAGAGAGCCATTGCTCTCCAAAACCGGAAGGAGACACGTGAAAGGCCTGGGCGGATCAAGCTTGGATCTTCCAGCGAACGGAGCTTGCCGAAACCCTGCAGCATGTTGTCGCAAAAAAAGTTCCCATATTTTGGTTCGCCAAAATTCTCAGCACCAACACACCCAGAAGTCATCGCAAAGGACACAACGCTACTTCAATACCTCTGTTCATTTTCCTGAGAAGTACCAAAGAGTCTCGGATTATACCTACAGAAAACCCCGAAAAACAAAGATACCCAGCCAGTACTTCCAACCCGAACAACACATCAACACAATGTCAGAAGCCGCCGCATCCACCGCCTCGTCGATCTCGAACGTCAAGAAACGCATTCGTGATCTTTCCCGCTCCCTCGAGAAGGATAAGGAACGGTCGCATCTCCCAGCCACCAAGCGTAATGAGATGGAGCGTGCCTTGAGAGCCCACGAGCTGGAGTTGGAGGCGTTGATTGCCAACCAGAAGAAGAAGGACGAGGAGGGACAGGTCAAGCAGGCCCAGGAGGCGGAGAAGATCAAGGCGGAGAGCGAGGATCAGAGGATTGAACGGTTGACGGAGGCAAGGAGGATGCAGGAGAAGAAGGAGAGGAAGAAGAAGGGCAGCTGGGGAAAGTACAAGATGGTGCGGTTCTTTGGTAAGGATAGCCTTTTTTTTACCTCGTGACGGAGATTGACATTGTGCCCCGCCACATTTCATGGAATACTTTGCTAACACTGGTGTAGAAAAGCAGAAGGCTGAGAGGAAGATCAAACAGTACAAGAAGATAATGAGCGAGCCAAAGTGTACCGAGGAGAAGAAGAAACAATTCACCGAAAAGCTGCAACAGGCGACTCTCGAGCTGAAGTATATCATGGACTTCCCGACAACAGAGAAGTACATTTCGCTTTATAAGGAGGCCGATGAGAAGGGAGCAAAGAGGAGGGCGGAGGTCATGACGCTGTTGAAGGAAGGCAAAGAGGTTGATGGCGAGATGGCTGTCAAGAAGACCACCAGCAAGCCTGCTGAGAAGGCAGAATCATCCGATAATGAGGAGGAGGAGGATGTCGAGATGGAGGATGCCGAGGAGCAGGAAGAGAAAAAGTCAAAGAAGGAGAAGAAGGACAAGAAGGATAAGAAGGATAAGAAATCGAAAGACAAGAAGTCAAAGAAGGAGCCGGTCGTAGAGGACGACGGGGAGGAGAGTGACGGTGGATTCTTTGAGAAGTAAAGGCCACCAACTGAAAAGTCTATCTGTTGCCCTTGTCGGAAGATGGGCCATTGTTTTTGCATATTTGATTGGTGCATAGTTTATCATACTTCATGCTTCCTTGTTGTATTCGTTATATTGATTTGAGATATCCTTTGCATAATGCGGATACTTATCAGCCGATACTGGTCTTCCTCTCCTGGGTTCTCGTTTCTCAATGGGCAATTATCGTGGTTGGATGCCATGACGCATTTGCACTGCGATCTATTGCAATGGAGTCGATTCTTCTTGCTATCATCGGATGTCGGATTCAGAACCATTCAGATATGTACTTCAGGTACGGTTAAAGTTATAATTGGGTTCAGAGTACATATGTTACAGCATTCAGGAAGGTGCCGAATCTCGGTTTCGAAGCGCTCGCGGGATCTGTGCCGTAACACAAAGATGTTTGTAAATAGCAGCCCCCAGAACCGTTTCATCTTTAATTAGCAACGACCTTGTTTCATGTCGTTCTTAGGCTGGCCACATCCCGGTCACTTGCTCCCAACTTTGCGAGAAGCTTGAACTCAAACTTTGGAAGCCCGCAGGCGAGAGAATTCAGATCTGGTCGCACTCAACGGTGAACGGGGAGGCCGGTACATACCACTGCCTACCCCACTTTTCTCTCATATGAAGTGGGCGTTGTTGGTTTCCATGAGATTGGTGGGATTCACAATGTTGTACTGGTAAAAAAGTTGCAGCGGGAAATACCGTTTGGTAAGTAGCACCCAGGTAGTAGTCGCCTTCGAGTTGGTTTGTGACAAGGACGTTGAAGGGCGGGAAACTGAGTATTGCTCAAGCAAGTATATTGACACAAACATTGTGTCTTTCTTACAATATCGCCCGTTCCAGACCATCCCTAAGCAGTAGAGTAGAATAATGGATAAAAAGATGATAGCAATAGAAACCTGCTCTCAACGATGAACTGAAGAGAGCCAGCCCAGCACCTGCCTCCGACTGGCCACCAACACAACCAGCGCAATCACTGGCACTTTGGCCAGGATAGATAGAATGAACCCAAGAAGAGACTGGTCGCCTACGACCGGGACTTGTGAAAATCAGAAAGAAAAAAAAGCAAATAACTCCAAACCGTAACGCCATAATGTCTAAGCACAACCACCGAGCAAAACCCACCCGATATCCCCGAACCAAGCAGCCGGAAAAGAAAAGCAAAAAAAGGGCCGGAACAAAAGAAATAAGCATCGAGAAGCGATGAACCAAAGAAGACGAGTCGAAAGGAACTAGTGCTGTGGGAAAGCTGCCCTTACTGACGGTGTGGGGGTAGACGAGATGTCAGTGGCGCTATCCGAGGTAATGTTCTCGTAGGTAGGAGGCACGGAAGTCATCCTAGAGTGCTCACTGGCCCTTGAGAAGCTTCTGTCCGAGTAGGCTGGAGGTGAACTTGGTGCCTTCCCTCCAACACTATTCTTCGTGCCGTTGAATGCGGTGGGTGACTGAATCGGGCTCGAGATGTTGCTGATTGGGAGGACTTGGATGCCTTCGAAAGATGTCTGTCTATGACTCGGACTAACGTAGACCGGAGGGAATTCACTGGCGTCAGGGAATGGTGACCGACTGCGATGTGATGCTCTAGAACCAGGCTGGGAAATCCTCAAGTTATGTGCCTGAGGAGGTGGTGATATCGGCCCTGGTGAGTGAGGTGAGGGTTGAGAAAGTATCGGTATTTTTGAACCAGTTGTCTCTTTGTAATCGCCAGCATACCGTCCACATTTGCGTATGCGCATGATGGCATCCATGGGTTTGGGGTAGCGCTCAGTTGGCGATGCGTTGGCCTCGTAGTCCTGATGCGCTTGTACTCTCTTTCGATTTCGGTGGGTTATGAAGGACCATACAAAGACGATGAATATGATGACGAGAACAATCGGAAGGACGATCTTGAATACCATAGAAACGCCGTCCTTTTTCTTGTCGTCATCTTCGTCCGTATCCTCAGTCGATGTCGTGTGGACAGGTGAATGAGTTTCCGGAAGTGCTGCAGAGTTGACTTGTGAGATGATTTGGGCGAGTATTATGGCGAGGTAGGGATTTGGCGTGCGCCCAAAGGCGGATATAATCTTCAGGCCCATTATCGCGATAAAATGTCTGCAGAATTCTGGTTTGGTGCTAGTAGATTAAACAGACAGGAGCATCCTAGCATAAGGTTAGCAACGGTTCGACCACAAAGCTATAAAACCGAGAGAGGAAGTATAATAGAGAGATGCCTTACCAAATTCGAGATTCTTCAGACAAACAAGCCACTCTGCCAATGATGAACTTTGAGAAGTATTCAACAAAGAACAACAATGAGAACGAAACTCTGAAAGAGATTGTTGGAGAGAAGAAAGGGAACAATCGCGTCTATCGGCCTCCATTTGTACTTTCCGGAGACTGTGGACGCGGCTGGCAGCCTTCACTGACGGACGGGAAAAATGTCGAGTGGCACGGGTGACCACACTACCCCGATTTCATATTGATGACCGTTATGGGCAATAAAGATGCTGGACCTTATGCTGGCTGAAGTCTCCCCCATGAGAGGCACAGTAGATGCCAGCCGAGTGTGGGAAAGCCACAATCCCAAGCGAATGTCACTACTGTGGGTGCAGGTAGATCTTCCAGGTGCTGTGCACGCCAGTCCAACAGAAGTGCAGGAGAGACATTTGGCTGTGTGACAGCGGGAGACGGTAAATGTCGACAGGGAACGCAAACACCCGAGACTTTCTGTTGCAAGTGGGTTGAAGGCCTGCAAAAAGGTGCGGTAGGCCGGCGTGGTGGACCCGAGAAATGAGAGAATCTGACCGCTCATTTCAGTGGGAAATCTATTCCTTCAAGCGCTTTTGTCGATATATTGATATTGCAGCGAAGCGCAAGTAGCCGCAACCCCCAGGCTTCCCTTGGTGGGGTTTCTTCATCCGTATCTCCCGCCCGCAATATAATATAGCCGTTGTATATTGCGTCTCAGATTCGCCTTCTCATTGGGCCAGAGGTGTGATTTCTCCCCATCCATCCTTGCACCTTTGCTCTGTCTGCAAGCCGTTTGCTGAATGAAGATGCCCTGGTTGTTCAGGTTCTTTTGCCAATGCTCATTCGCAAATCCCTTCTCTGATCGTTCCTGGTTGCCCATATGTTATACAGGCTCCGAGTCATCTCACCACCATTCGGTTATGCAAATAAGAATCCCAATCGATAGTGTACGAGAACAGGCTGGTGGATTTCGTGACGATATACCAATCATCATCATCGTTTGTTGCTTTTGTGAAGGGTCGTTAACGTTCGTGCCGTCAGTCGATCGCTCGTGCATAAAGAACTCTTGTGTCTTTGTCAGTTCCCCGAGGCTTGACTCGATGCAGCTGTGGCTTACCTTCTTTGCCTGTCATTCGTGCAGGAGATTGCCGTGATCAGCGTTGGGATGGTGGAGTAAAGCCACAGCTGAGCGGCACAGCAAGATGCCTTTTGCCCTCAACCTCTCAAGACCCCTGCACGGAGTTGCTTGTCGCTGTTACATCACAGCAGAGCTTTCCCCACTGGGACTGGAAGGAACCGTGCTCGATTACTAACCCAAACTCAGTCTTTCCCCGCCTTTGCGTATCCCGCGCCTCCTGTGCTTTAGTGACACTTGTTCAGTACGGAATCCAGCTCGAAGCTTATCTGTCGCCTAACCACAAAACCTTCTCCTTCCTGCGAACAACTCGGCTGACAGGATCAACCACCACCAACATCTCACCACCTAAACCCGCGCCCACCATCTTCAGAATGTTTGGCCGTTTCTTCACTGCCTTTTTCGTGGCACTCGCTGCCCTGACTGTCGTCGTTTCGGCGGCCAAGGGTCCAGCCATTACCAACAAGGTGAGCAGTCGAGTCTCGCAATTGAACGATCGCGACAAGTTGTCATTCTAACAATCTGATTCGCAGGTCTTCTTCGACATCAAGCACGGTGAGGAGGATCTTGGTCGCATCGTTTTCGGTCTTTACGGCAAGACTGTCCCAAGGGTATGATTCCAATGAACCGTTCGCTTGCACACCCCCTGCAAGCTGTCAAAGTTGCGCACCATAGCTAACCATCGAATTACTACAGACTGCTGAGAACTTCCGGTAATTCCACATTGTTTAGTCGACTACAACACAATCTAACTCGAAATATAGTGCTCTCGCAACCGGTGAGAAGGGCTTCGGTTATGAGGGCTCTGCCTTCCACCGTGTCATCAAGCAGTTCATGATCCAGGGTGGTGACTTCACCAAGGGTGATGGCACCGGTGGCAAGTCCATCTACGGTGACAGATTCGAGGATGAGAACTTCAAGCTCAGACACACCCGCCCAGGACTTCTCAGTAAGCATTCCCAATTGCGCCGGCTCATGTAGCTAATGAAGTGTAGGCATGGCCAACGCTGGACGCGACACCAACGGATCCCAGTTCTTCATCACCACCGTTGTCACCAGGTAAGCGTCTCTTGCATCCGGTCACGCATCCAAATGCTAACGTTCGTAACAGCTGGCTCGATGGCAAGCACGTCGTCTTCGGCGAGGTTCTCGAGGGAATGGACATCGTCAAGAAGATCGAGGGCGTCAAGACTCTCCCAGGTGACAAGCCAGAGAAGCCTGTCAAGATCGTCAAGTCCGGAGAGTTGCCAAAGCCAGACGAAGGTACTCACGTCGAATTGTAAACGCCGTCCGTTTGACTTATATATCCATCTTTAGAGGCAGAGGAGGCGCCTGTTAGTGTAGGAGAAACCGCTACTACAAAATCCGAAGATCAATATATTGATGCTATACCAATTGGCCATCTTTCTGTTGAGGAAGAGCATGATTACCACGGAATGTCTTTGCACTTTCTCCAGTTCTTGGGCATTTGCGTGTTCGTCGGTGCCTGCGCCTACGCTTACGTCAAGTATCGCAACCGCCACGGCCAAACTCCTCACCAGAAGTTCTTCCGTTTCCCACAATAAACAGACTAGCTTTGGCATCATACATTCATTCTATAAGTTGGACCCTTTTGGCTTAGATATCCCCCATCTCATTTGTGTTGTATATCCACCTGTACTGGTGTTATTGGCGGGCGTTCTGCGCGGAACCAGAAGTATTAACTTCTAGATACTTAGAATCCTCTTCTCTTACTCATGCTAGCTGGAAAGACGAGGGCAAGCATATACTATGCGCTTTAAATGTTA